GCTCATCCTTTCTGCCCATTCTAAACACATTCCAACCATCAAAATCCTGCCAGGACACCTCGTTTTCCTAACCCTAACCCTACCCTGGTGCACACCCCCAACCCTAATATAGGGCTAAAGTTCCATGGAAAAGAGGGCGATTTTGAAAAAGCCTCCCTTGAGTAGGTTTTTCTGCCCAGCTCATTATTTCTGCCCATTCTAAACACATTCCAACCATCAAAACCATGCCAGTACGCCTCGTTTTTCTAACCCTAATATAGGGGCAAAATACCATTGAAAATAATGTGATTTTGAAAAAGCCTTCCCTGAGGAGCTTTTTCTGCCCAGCTCATCATTTCTGCCCATTCTAAACATTCCAACCATCAAAACCATGCCAGGACACCTCGTTTTCCTAACCCTAACCCTACCCTGGTGCACACCCCTAACCCTAATATAGGGCTAAAGTTCCACTGAAAAGAGGGCGATTTTGAAAAAGCCTCCCTTGAGTAGGTTTTTCTGCACAGCTCATTATTTCTGCCCATTCTAAACACATTCCAACCATCAAAACCATGCCAGGACGCCTCGTTTTCCTAACCCTAACCCTACCCTGGGGCACACCCCTAACCCTAATACAGGGCTAAAGTTCCACTGAAAAGAGGGCGATTTTGAAAAAGACTTCCTTGAGCAGCTTTTTCTGCCCAGCTCATCCTTTCTGCCCATTCTAAACACATTCCAACCATCAAAACCATGCCAGGACGCCTCGTTTTCCTAACCCTAACCCTACCCTGGGGCACACCCCTAACCCTAATAGAGGGCTAAAGTTCCACTGAAAAGAGGGCGATTTTGAAAAAGACTTCCTTGAGCAGCTTTTTCTGCCCAGCTCATCATTTCTGCCCATTCTAAACACATTCCAACCATCAAAACCATGCCAGGACACCTCGTTTTCCTAACCCTAACCCTACCTGGTGCACACCCCTAACCCTAATATAGGGCTAAAGTTCCATGGAAAAGGGCGATTTTGAAAAAGCCTCCCTTGAGTAGGTTTTTCTGCACAGCTCATTATTTCTGCCCATTCTAAACACATTCCAACCATCGAAACCATGCCGGGACACCTCCTTTTCCCAAGCCTAACCCAGTGATGGTGAACCTTTTGGGACCAAGTGCCCAAACTGCAACCTAAAACCCACTTATTTATTGCAAAGTGCCAACACTACAATAAAACCTTAAAAATTAAAACCTTGAGGTTCTAGTTTAGAAAAAACAACTGACAGCCAGCAGCACACTGAGCGGCCATGCGAAAGCTCGGACAAATCGTGGCTACGAGTCGCGGCTCGTGAGATCATTGCCTGGCCCCACTACTCCTTGCTGAGCGTGCGCATGGCCCCCGTGTGCGCCGTGATCTGATGCTCAGCTGCTGGGGCGACGCTGGGGCGACTTGGCTTGCATGTTGTGGCACACACGGCCATCGGTTCGCCTCCACTGTTCTGGGTCATAGGCTGCTACTTCAACTTACCTGTACTTACATGTACCTGTACATTATGCAAATCCTCAACAGGAAAATTGGTTAGACGGTGGGTGCTTGCTCAGAGAATTCCTCTTAGCTGAAAAGGACAGGTAGCAGCAGAAATGGAGAAAGGAACATGGTGGCTTATGGGATCAATGAATTAGCCGATGGGCTACAGAATTACGAGGGGAAGGGCAGGAAAATCAACCCAAACTGATCCTTCCGGAGGCATGAAAGGGATTTAAGGTCAGGCAGAACCTCCAGGCCGGACATGAGAAGCCTCGGAAGGCTGTTCACCGAAAGGGGTCTCTCAGCCCCTTTCAAGCAGAGGTTGGATGCCTGTCCATCAGCAAGTGTGTAGCTGTGGATTTTCTGGATGGGTCAAGGGGCAGACTAGAGGGTGTTGGAAGTTCCTTCTAACTCTCTAATTAAATATTGGAATAGAAAGAAGTTGCCTGAAAAACTATATTCAAGGTTACCTCGAATTTGCATTTATTTTCTTCTGGGTGGATAAAGATAAAATGGGGGTTTCTAAGGCTTCAGTAAAGTTTGCCTCATTTGTCCACCTTCAATTTTTGCATTTTGAAAAGGAGTTATGACAACTGGGAACAAAGAGTAACCCGATCTGCTCCCAGCCGGAAACTTGGTGGCAAGAGCACGAATTCCCTCCAGGTGCTGTGCTGGGAATCCCCAGTCAACTGCCTGATACCAGACACCAGGTATCTGGTTGTCTCTCTTCACCCATTTCCTTCAGCACCTTTAAACACTGGATCCTTCATTCTGCTTAACACTTTCCTTGACCATTTGTCAAAGGCCTTTCCCACCTCACAGAGATGGCGGAAAAGCCTGGGGACTCAGAACGTTAAATGCACAGCATCTTCCCTGGGAGCAAAGAAAGTGGAAAATGCGGCCCTCCCGACTCAAGCACCTCGTCCTTCCCCCCTTCTCTGCCCCCCTCCCTTCCTCCCTCCAGAACAGCCAGAGACTGAAAGGAAGCCAGAATTCCAAGAACTGTTCCTGTTTATGGGTTTCCTCCTCTTGGACACAGTCCCAAGTCCTCTCGATTTCCAAGAATATCAGTGTGATAAAAAACACACACCAGAGCAGCAGCGGTGGAAGTGCTTGGGGTAAATTTAGCATCGGGGGCTTTGTGCATATCGCCGTCGGGATGCTGGTGACACGCGTTCGAGTTCTTGGGGCGGAAGTGCTGGATTGCTGCCCGGTTTATTCCGTTCCGAATAAACAGAAACTCGGAGCAAACAAGACCAGGATGCAATGAAAGGGAAGGCTTGTTGAGCAGCCGGAAGGTGAATCGGGAGGGTGCTGGACCACCTCCTTGGCTTCCGAAACAGCCAAGTCATGGGCTGGAGAGACGGTTGGGCAATCCAGCCGGGCTCCCCTGCTGCCCCCCCTCCACAGGCCTTTCTTTTCTGGAGGGAGAAGCAGGACTCGAAGCTCAGGTGAGCCCTGGCTCAGACCCAGGCACGTCCCACCCTGCCAGTTTGCCCCCCATAGCGATCCTTCAAGCGGAACCGCGTTCTCCGGGAAAAGGGAGCAGCAGCTTTCTAGCACACGCCTCTGTCTGGCCTCGTCAGTTCCTCCTCAAACTTCCTTTCTGCAAGAGCCGCAGAATCCTTCCTACCTTTGCAATTTACACGTGTGAGCAAAGAAACGCCCAAGCAGGATAAAGGGCTGTTATCACTCTGGCCGCCTCGCCTCTTGCCGCGTTAACAACTTAACTTTCATGTTTCTCGGATTCGTTTCCCCTCCGACCCGAGTGCAGATGCGCTCGTGCCACATGCTCAACATGGCGCATGAACCCGGAACTCCGTAAGACTCTGTGCATCAGACGCAGCTGGCAGCAGCCCACGAAAGCTTTTGCCAGAACAAACGTGCTTGTCCTTAAAGCAGGCCTCCCCACTTTGGCACCTCCAGTGTGTGGGACGGCAGAACCCCGCAGCCAGCCAACGCACCTGGAAGGCAAAAGGGCGACCTCCAGATGTGCTGGACTTCAATGCCCAGCTAGCACATCTGGAATGCTGGGAGCCGAAGTCCCAAGCACCTGGAGGTCTGCACTTGCCCAACCCCAGCCCAGCACTCCAGGCCAGAGAAGCGGCCGCAGGGCCCCCTCAGGCCCTAACATTATGCATTTACCCGCCCCCCCCCCCGCCAGTCTGATTCAGCCAGCAGCTGCATCAGACCCATGGCTGCCCCTCCAACTGGCTGGGGGATTCTGGGAAGGCAGCCCCCTCGGCTTCTGCTGCAAGGGATGAGCGAAGCTGCCCCCCCCCCCCCCCGCGCCGCTTTTTGTGGAAGGCCCCCCAGAGGGCTTCCCCCCCGGGGGGCTCCCCCGCCCCGGGGGGGGGGGGGAGGGAACTGAACGTGGTGCCATCAGCAGCGAGTCACCCACAGGCCCCTCTGAAGCACGTGGGGAACAAGGAGGCCCAGCTGCTTCCTCATTAACCGGCCTTGTCCTCATCGACGGACAGTGCAGGCAGGAAACGTTTCCAGGGAACCGTCCCTGCCGGCTTGAGGCAAGCTCCTGCGACCAGATGCCCTCTGGGTCAAGAACTCCCAGGATTCCTGACCGCCGGCCAAGGGCTTCCGAGGGCTCAGCTGAACCGGCCACATCGGGCAGGCGGTCAAGTCGGGTCGAGCTGGTGCAAAGCAGGCTGTGGCAAATTGTGTGGGGTGAAGCGGATGTGCAGCTGCTGCTGCTGCTTTAAGAGGGTTCGCAGCCTGCAGCTCCCCCGTCCCCGTCTTGAGACCGGCTATTCGCTCCCCACGGAAGGCTGCAGGGCTCCACAAGGGGCACGGGGGCTTCCCCAGGGAGGCCCCATGGGCGGCTTCAGCGTCCATCCACACAACCAAACCCCGGGGCACTGAATGCCTCCACGCCATTGATGGCACGCCAAGTTCACGCCTGCCTCTCCGGCCCCTCTCTCAGCGCCCTCGCTGGCAGGAGAGAAACACATGTGTGTTTCCATGCACAGGCCAAAGTCTGACAATGCGGGTGGGAAAAAGCGGCGCTTCTGGAGAAATGCCGCTCTTCAGGCTGGATGCGAGTGTGAGAAGCTGAGAAAAATCCAGTTCTGCCAACAAACGATGATGGTGTGAGACGCCCAGAAGTCTGCCAGCCACAGATGATGTGGATTTAACCAAGATGCACTCTGCCATCCCAACCCAAGGATGTAGAAAAGCTGACAAAAACAGCAAAATAAACAAGAGCATCAGTATGCTAAAATATTTTACATTCCTCTGAAATCCTTTACACAAAACTCTGCCCACAGGCCCCCCGTGTCTTCATCCGAACGAGCCCTTTAGAGTGGCACTCGAAATATCAGAATGATTTCGTGTTTGCAATCCCCACCTGCCACAGATGTGCATACAACTTCAAATTAAAATGACCACACACGGAATACACACAAATCCAAGATGAAAGCGGACGGTGCTCGAAAGGCGAGCGGCCGGCTCGGCTCGGGTGTCCGCAGGTTCCTCATGCCTTCCAGTGAAAGGAGAAATAAAACGAACGGAGCGGAGCAGACAGACGCAGACGGAGGTTTGCCCAGTGAGGGGGAAATGCTCCTCCCGCGAGCTCCTTCGCCGCCCTTTTCCCCTGGCCAAGTGGAGCAAACCGGCTCAGTGGCCCAGGCGGCAGCGCCCTCGGCCGCAGTCGCTGCTTGTGCGGCGCCAGGCCCACGCAGAGCAAGCACATGGGTGGCGGAAGGGAGTGGCCGGCCCCCAGGTCCTCCCAAGGCGCCTCCCCTCCCCAGTCGCCCCCCCCCCAGTGCCTGGGTGCAGCGCCAGCCTGGGGTTCAGGGGGTTCCCCTCCTCTTTCCTTAGAAAAAGGCTGGATGTTTATTGTGCAGGAGACTCGGACACTGGGCGGACGGGATGCGACCCGTGGCCGGCTGCAGGCCCCACCACTGCTCACGCGGAGGAGGAGGAGGAGGAGGAGAGAGCCTGCCTCCCGCCCATCAGTTCTCGTCCTGGTCCGACGGAGGGGCAGGGAGGCCGCCACCGGCCTCTGTGCGACCGTCGGGCTCCGGGGCCGGCGGCTGAGCGCAGCCCACGGCGAGGATACTGTCCGTGTCGACCGGCGGGACCAGCGTGAGCGACTCCACGCTCAGGGTGTCTGCGCCGTGGTCCGAGATGAGGGAGATCGTGGGCTGCGGGGCGGGGACCAGGCTAGGGGAGAGGCTCGCCACGTCCAGCTCCGCGGGCCTCGCGTGGCTCTTGCTGGGCTTGGCGGCGTGTGCGCAGGGGTCGTCTGCGGCCGCCAGGAGGCCGGAGGAGGACGAAGCCGCAGGCTGTGCGAGAGCCGACGGGTCTTCTGCTGGAGAGAGGGAGAAGAGAGATGCGCAGCCACGTTACGCGGGCACGCAGGGGCGCGGGCGAGACACGTGAGCCGGGCCACCCCCCCCCGGGGCCCTCCCGTGGCGCTGGGCGGCATGCAGAGCCCCGGACCGCCTGGGCTTCCGCTCCAAGCCTCCCCGGCCCGAGCACGCGAGCAGGCCCTGCCCGCCAGGGATCAGTTCGCTGCCCACCCGGACGCCGGGCTGCCGCTCTGCTCCCGGTGCCTGTGGCGAACTGCCAGAGACGCGACCCCCCCACCCCCCGCTCCAGGACCCTGCGCTCCGGAGTTGAGCATGCAAGGGGCAAGTGCACAGCCCATGCGCCGACGGCAGCCCTTGGCGCGGTGGGCCGAGGCCGCTCGGCCGGCACGAGCTGTGGGGCCGCGCAGGCGACCACCGACAAAGGATCCTGCAAAGAACCACGGCGGCTGCTCGCAGGGAACGAACGTCCCGGGTGGCTGTGCCACGGCCCCCCCACAGCGTGCCTCTCCCGCTGCCCAGCCAGCGGACAGGCCCCAGCTCGGAGCGGACTGCCTGCGGGCAGGGTGACCCGTCCCCCAGGCCGTCGAGGGGGCAGCCGCCGCCTGCGAAGCAAGAGGCTTTCCTGCCCCCAGCCCCACATGGGAATCTTGGCCAGGGCACGGGAGCCAGCCAGCCCCCCGCCTCCTAAAAGCAGGGGCCTGGGGGCTGACGGCGACCGCCAAGGGGACTGTTTCCCTGGGATGCTCCCGCAGCCCCTGCTGGCGCCTTCCAGCGTGCGACGGCCGCAGCGTGCTCAGGGAGGGCGCAAGGATGACGGTGGATCAGCGCTGCTGACCGAAGCGTCCGTCTGTCTGTCTCAGCGCTAGCATGCAGCAGCTCTGGGCAGGGGAGCTCGGCCATTCCCCCCCCACCCCCCCAGCTGCAGGGAAAAGGACAGGACTGCAAAGAAAACGGCGTACGAAAGGAACAAGGAAACAGCCGGCATGGAGCTGGACCAGGAGACAACTTAGAAAGGCACCAAGCAGCCCTGCATTCCGAAAAGAAGGCGCTCGCTTGAAGCAATCCAGGCCTCAGGGGCTGCACGGCTTCCTGAAGCGCTCGCAGGACGACAGGAGCACGGCTTCCTGCCCCTCCGCACTGGCAACCGGGCCCGGGGACAGAGCGGCTCTCCGGCCACCACGGCCGGTGCAACCCCGGCCTCCCTCCGCCACTCGGCAGCAAAGGCCCGAAGCAGTTCGCTTTTCAGAGGGTGGGAAGCGCTGCGATTGTTTCAAGCAACGGTGGACAAGCAGGGGACGAGGGGAGGGGAGGGGAGGGCAGCGGGGAAGGAGGCCGCCCGGCAAAGCACGGCAGGAACCGGACGGGAGGCGCGGCCGCACGGGGCACGGGCGCTGGGGGTCTGCCCATGCGGGAGGGGCCGCGGCGGGGCTCCGGCAGCGCTGCGCTGCGGGTGCCGGGAGCAGAGGAACGGGGGGAGCGCGGAGGAGGAGCAGCGCCACACACGGATGGAGAAACCTGCCTGGAGGGGTTCTGAAAGGGCTGTTGCTGCCGCAGCTCCCGCCGGAAGGCCTAGACCCAGTGGCCACCGTGGCCGTCGGCCTCCGAGAGACTGAACACCCGCCGCCGTCCTTTCAGGCCGGGCCTCACTGGAGGGAAACACAGTGACAGGACAGGTCACAGAGAGGCTGCAACAGGCGGGGCGGGAGGGGGTCAGCGAAGAGGCACGGGAGGGAAGGCATGTCAGGAGCCACACCGCCCACGCACCGGCCTGGACGGTGGGCTGCCTCCCCGCCGCAAGCCCCAAGCGCCGGCCAGGGGCCGTCCGGGGCCGGGCACCTTCCTGGGGTGGCGTGTGCTCAGGTGGACTCGGCACGGACTGCGGGCGGCCACAGAGACAGTCGGAGACACGGGGGGCGTGCGGGAGCAAAGCTTTTGCCCGGAAACGTGACAAGCGACTTCGCAAGGAGGCCAGGGCGAGCTTTTGCGGATTTCTGGTTGGTGAGCAATATTCCTTCCTACTCTGGGGTAATACATTTGAGTTGCTCCATCTCCCCAAAGCAGGCACCGAGTTCCGATGTCAAAAAGTCTGCCTGCTAAGATGGAGAGCCAGAAATACTGCACTTGGATTTCGGTCCAAGAAAAGTGCAGCCCGTGTTGTCGGTGGGTTTCCTTAAATTCCAAGTGGGAAGCAATAAAAAGCGGGGTGGGGAGGAAACCGAGGCTTCAAGGGAAGCCTGGAGAAGGTCGTTTGGCGGGGGGAAAGCATGGCACGTTCCCCTCCGCAGCACAACATTCAGAGCAGCAGACGTCGGCGTGTGCGGCGTTTGGCCAGGGAGGAGAGACGCCTGTGTCAAGCGAAACGTCTTCCACAGAAGCACAAAGCGCACGGGGCAGACGGCCTGTGGGGAGAGAGGGCCCTGGCCTGGGCTCCCCACGTCCCCCAGCGGGCCCTCGGGAAAGCGGGGGCCGGCGGTGCCACAAGGGCAGGCTGCAGGGCGACCCCCCAGGCACCCGCAGAGCAGAGCTCCGGAGCGCGGCACATCGCCACAGATGAGACGGCCGCTCTGGATCCGTGCCGGACAAAGCGCGCCCTGCCCCAAGGCGGGGTGGGCCGAGTGGGACGGGGGCATCACCCCGGGCGGCTGCAGGGGGCTCCCGAGCACAGAGGTGGGGGCAGGGTCCCTGCTGGGCCCTTCCCCGGCCACCTTTCCCGGTGTGGATCCTTCCTGCCTTCGGCAGAGCGGAGAGGAGCGAAGGGGCCCCTGCCTTGCCCAACGCGACCGCGATCCGGGCCTTTGGGCGGAGTGCCATCTTTGGCAGACCCGCTGCCGGGCCCCCGCTGCCTGGGCGGGGGGCCCTGGGGTGCTCCGCAAAACGCTCGCCTGCTGCCCGAGCAACGCTTCCGAGGCCAAAGGAAAGGCCCGCCGGGGAGCAGCGACTGGACGGGGGGCCCAGTGCTGCAAGCCCCGCACGGGGGCCGGACTCTGCGTGGAGATGCCCTGGGCCCCATCCCAGTGCCGGAGGGGCTGGGCCGCCAGAGGGAGGGAGAGGCAGATTCCGGAGCATGCCTACATGTCCGAGCGTCAAGAGGCACTTCAGCCTCTGAGGATGGGGAAAACTCTGCTGCAGCCAGACTATCAGGCTATTGATGGCTGGAGGGAAGGGGAGGGGAGGGGCCCTCCAAAGCCCCCCCGCCACCCCAAGAGCCGGACTGCCGCCTGAGATGGGGGCGGGGGGGCTTCCCGCATTCCTGCACTGAAAGGCCCCGCAGGAGGAGACGCATCCCTGCCTGATGCTCCCCAAGAGGGACGCGAAAGGCATGGCCGTTCCTCTCCGGCGCTGCTGCCCCCTCCTCTGTGCGCTTTCGGCATCGCAGAGCCTCCCTGGGTTCAGTGCCTGCTAGGCGCATCGGAGGCATGCGCTCCGGCCACCTCCATTTCACGGAGGACGTGCACACCCGCCCCTCCCTGCCCCCTTCCACGCTTTTTAATGCGAAGACCAGTTTGCGCCACTATGTGCTGCTTCACATGCAGGTCGGGGAGGGCGGCGTTTATGGCTCGGGAGAGGCAGCCAAAATGCCCCAGAGCCCGCTTCGGGGCCACCAGGAACGCTCCGGAGGAAGCCCGCACACGCCGAGCACGACCACCGAGCACGCGAGCTCGAGGCAGGGCGACTGCCCCGTGACGCAAACGGCAGCCAGCCCACGGACGTCGGCAATGCATTCGCGGGGGCCCATCGGCAATTCCGCGGGACGACACGCTGCGTGCGGCCACGGGCGCCTCCTGCGCACACCGCGGCTCTCGCTCGGGAAGTGGCGCAACACCTGCCTGAGTCGCGGTGGGTTTCCACTCGCTCTGTGAGTTGGCCAAGCGTCTGCATGGAACCCCGCGGGGCGCAGCCCCTCCTGCCGCCCCAGCGAGGTGCCTTGGGCAGGGAGGAGCCCGGAAGGAGGAAGCGATGTGGCGGAGCTGGGTGGCCTTGTCTCCATGCCGGCGGCAGGACGAGGCGAGGCGAACTTTGGGCTCACACTGTGATGGGTGAGGACACGTCAGGAAGCACACTTTGGACTGCAGTAAGCATGGTAAAAATCCCCTTCAGAGTTCGCTACGAAGGACATCCACATATTCCAGGGACTTCCCGTACTTGCGTTTGCTTCTGGGCTCCCAGGGTCTTTTCGCAGTGCTCCGAAGGAGGGCAAAAGGCGCCCAGGCTGCAAGGATGCCGTCGCCGGACCGGGCATCACTCGGAGCGCTTCTGACCCACAAGAGCGGCCAGAAGCCGGGCGCACCGTCTGTCCTCTGACCCCACCAGGGCAGCGACCTCCTTTGCAACGCTAGCTTATGAGGTATTTTGAACTTTGCCAGAAGTCCATTTCCCCGCAAAAGCTCCTTCCTCCAGAGATACCGGTTGGGTTCCTCGGTCGTGCTGTGGCGAACCCACGGCCGGTCCTCCACCGGCCACAAGCGGTGCAGCCGGTCAGGCGTGCAGCTGCCAGCCCCTATGAAGGCACCACAGCACCTCGTGGTCACCGGCGGCGGGGCTGAATTGGCTTGGGGGTGCCATCCTGTACTGGTCCTGGCACGAACAAGGCCTATCCCCCCGCCCACACGGGAGAGGGCCAGGAGCGGTCGGACATTTCTCGGCCTTGGCCGGGACAGGACGGCCCGTTCGGACTCTCCTGGCCCCGCTCTGGCCGGCCTGAACCAGCTCCCCGGGCAGAGAGGCAGCAGCTTGCCGCCAGCCGTCCAACTCGAGGGCAAAGGCAAGGCAAGAGCGACAGGGGGATGCCGGGGCCTGAGCGGAGCTGCAGCGCAAGACGCTGCCTTCCCCCTGCGGCTGTGAGGCGCGAAATGCGGGAGCGGCACGTGAGGCCACGGCGGCAGAGGCGTGACGGGCTTGGGAGAGGTCCCGCCAAAGGGCACCCGGGGCAACACTCGCTCCCAGAATTATGCCAGGAAACCAGCAGGACAAAATGCAGATGCTTCCAGCCGAAAGTGTGTGCAGCTCTTCCTGGAAGCCAGCAACACCTGATTGTCTCAAGAAGGGCAGGAGATCCGTTTTGTGGGGGGCGGGGGGCACCCTCTGGAGCCCGCAGTAAGTGGGAGGGAGGCCTAAGGCAGGTGAGGGCGGGCGGGGGGGTCTCGCTGGCTCGGACTAGGGGCTTCCCCAGGCCAGGCAGCTGCCCTGCTTTCCTTTCCCGCCCTCCCTCCCTCCCAGTGGGTCCTCCGACTTTCAGACCTGGGTGGAGGGCCGCCCACCCCATCCTGAAGCCTCATCCAGGCCAGCACCGGGGGAACTTTTTAAAGCTTATGTTGAAAAACAGCCTTCATTCCTCGCACTCCCAGCACCGGAATACAGTGGAATAAATTCAACAGCAGGAGAAGGAATCCGTAAGTGCAGACGAAACAGGAAAAGCCAAAGGGAAATCATTCTGAATGGGCAAGGGCACGGAAGCCGCTCCCAGGCATTCCCTCTGGATGCTGGACGGAGCGAAGGAGCGTTCTTCCGGAACTGTTCCCCAGCTCTGCCCGGCAGCAACACACCTGGATCGCCGGGGCCGCCCTTTCGCAGCCCTCCATGTCAGGGAAGGCAAACCGAGATCAAATCGCCCCTTTACAGACGGACGTTCCCATTTTCACGGAGCTCGTGCGGCAGCGCAGTGGGGGCCCGGCTGCGTGGGCTCGGCCCAGGGGGCGTTCATACCTGAGGGGCTCTGCACCACCGAAGGTGTGGAGGTGGAGCTCGCCACCGCGGAGTCACAGCGCCCGGTGCTCCCGCTGGAGGAAGGGGACGGCGAGGAAAGCGGCAGGGGGCTGGGCTGGCTGATGCACTGGGCCACGGCGAAACCTGCAAGAGAGCAAGCCAGAGTCAGCAAGCGCCGGCTCGTCCCCACACCGGAAGGAGGGGCCCCGGCGCCCCGGGGGGACAGGGGGCAGGGAGTTGGTGGGGATCGCGGGGGAGGCCCTGTCGGAGGAGTCCAAATAGCACCCCCCCCAGCTTAAAGCGTAACAGAAAAGCCACAAAAGGAAGCAGGAAGGGGCAGAGGCAGAGCAGCGTGCAGGCAGGCCGAAGCTCTCACTTTCAAAGGGTTAACGGGGCTCCGTCTGGCAGGGGAGGGCGGAACCAGCACCTCCTCTGGCTGAGCCCTGGGCCCCCCCTTGTGGCACCACCGCCCTCCTTCCCGCACTGGCCCCCGGGGAGCCCAGAGCAGGCCGCGAAGGCCACAGCCCCTTCTCAGCATTTGCTCCCGAGGGATCTGCTCAGCCACCACCATTAACAGCACCCAAGAGATCCTCCGCCTTCCTGCGCGGACTGCGAACGCCTGATCGGGGAAGGGACGAGCGAGCGCTCGGAGCACCTGCCCCTGGTTTAGGACGTCGGCAGGTGTGGGAAGGCGTCGTCCTTCGGGGCACGGCTCCAGCTCACCCCCTTCTGCAGAACCTTCAGCATCTGCTGCAGGTCCTGGGGGGCCTCCCGGCCCCCCCACCTTCCGCCTGCAAGGACTCCAAAGCACGGAGCGGCCTGCCCAGCAGCAGCCGCCGGGGCCCTGAGAACCAGAAGGCCCTGCCTGGTCAGACGAGGTCACAGGCAACGCGATTCCACAGAACTACAGAAGAAAGAGCTGTGCGGTGCAGCTGTGCGGCTGACCCGGGTTCCTGAGAATCTCAGCTTTCTTTAAAAGCAGAATGTTTCTAGCCCTTATGACTGTGAACGGAGGCCTGAAAGAATGTGGGGAAAACCTGCCAATGTTTAAAAAAAGATCTCAAGGGCTGACTAAGTGTTTTGCTGGTTGCAGGGCAGGAGAGGCAGCAGAACGGACACGCCATCCCGGCTCCCTGCCCCCACCCAGCCAGACCGAGAGCCCTTGCATGGCTGCGATTACACAACCGCACTGGTCAAAGCCACTTTTCCGTGGATGCAGAACAAGCGCAAAATAAAGCACAGGCACGCACAGGCCGGCTGCACCCGGGGCTGCTCTGGGACACCCGGGCGGCCTCCTTGGCGGGGGTGCCAGCCAGAGGCACCTGGGAGCGGGCTGCAGGCAGAAGCGCAGCACGACTGCCCGGCCGTCCTCCGCAAGACCTGCCGCTGGAGAGGAGGAGGGCCGGCGGGGGCGGGGGCTCGTTGCCACAGGAGGGGGCTGGGCCACCACCCAACTGCATCCGCACGCACGCCTTGCGTCCAGCTTGCCCCGCTCTCCTGCAGCTTGCAGGTTGGGGATTCCGATTCCCCCCGTGCCCCCCCGGCCAGGGGCCTGGGAGTTGCAGTGCCCAAACCTTCCTAGCAACCCCTGCCAGAAGAACGCGTCGTCTTCATTCCCCCCACCCTTGCATGCTTCCAAGAAATGAGGCCCCGGGCCCCGGTGCTTTGGGGGTCCACAGGCAGGGCGGAGGGGGGCGATGCCATGGGCACCTGGCGCGGGCCAGCCCGACCTCCACCTTATGCCATGCGGAGCAGAGCGGAGCGGAGCGGAGCGGAGGGGCCTCTGGATCCTCCGCAGCAGGCGCCTGCCCTCGTGTGCTCCACGGGGGGCACCAGGGGCCCTGGCGCACAATTAACCACCACCGAGCGGGGAGGACGAATGGGAGGAACGGGCGCATCCGGCCAGGGGATGCAGCCCGCGCAACGGACTGGAGCTCTCCTGGGCATGAGGAGCAGCGGGTGAGATGCACCCGGACTTTTTGGCTTGGCCGCCGGGACAGCTTGGACAAACCTGCCAGCCGCAGCACCGGCACGCCATTTGAGCACGGGTCGGGTGCGTCCGTGCGCCCTCTGAGCGGACCTCCTGTCCACGCGCCCCAGCCCTCGTGCCAGCGATTGCACAATGGGGCTGCACCGAAAGATCGACTGGCTGGAAGCATTTCTGTTTTCCACAAAACAGAGCTCCAAGCTGGCTTAATCCACCCCTTCACCCAAGCCCGAAATCGTCCGTATGGTAAGAGCCCGAGTGGCTGTGCACTGCTTAGAGCGGCTGATCATTTCTCTGCGTCTCTGTCCACCTGCTCCGGCCCTGAGAAAGATCCCATGTGGGGGGAAGACGCACAGCAGCCGTCTCCAAATTCTTGCCCAACACCTTGCCAAAACCAGCATCTGTTCGACCTCTTCCCAAACATCCTTTTACACTCTCACACTCAAAAAATTCCTCTCGGACACGAAGAGCCAGAAGTCACATTAGCCGAGGAGGAAATTCCATAGGAATTTGCCGAGGGTGGAATCCTATGTGAGCCAAGACTGAAAAAGGCCTGCCATCTCCCACCGGGGCCCAGACAACGGATCGCAGGGGTGGTTAGCCATTTGGCCAGCTTTAAACGGAATTAGCCCAATTCGTGCACTCGGCAGCCAGCGGGGGCTACGAGTCTTCCCGGCTTTCTGCCCCTGCTCCAGCAGGGGAATCAGTCGCAGGCAGCAGTGCCTCAAATTCCAAAGAAAGGCCACAAATTCAGCAAGGCGCACCAAGCCTCCAGCTGACCTTTTCTGGAGAAACGGCAGGCTCTGATGTCAAATTTCACATGAGAGCATCGACGGCGTCAGGGATCGGACCTCACCCCACCCCCAGATTTGCTGTGGGGCACACAAGCACTGCGCTCAGAGACCAGCAGACTCTTTGCCCCCCGGCCAAACCACACCGGACGGATTCACGAGAAGCACCGTGGCTCCGGAGCAGGCGGGCCGGGTCCACGTTCGAGCCTTTGCTTCCTACGAAGACACGGTTTCTGCATACATTAAAAGCTCTTAGAAGAACCCAAGGCCGTTTTGGAGAAATCAACCCAGCGGCTTTGCTCAGTGGCGCCTGGTGGTTTGTAAATGTCCTGCCAGAGCCTGAGCAATCCCAGAAGGGAATACGTTCTGCCGTATGCTTTGCCAGCAGAACTCAATTTTCCCTCTTAAGGAAACGCGCTTTTGTTTCTGAGCAGGCTCTGGGATCCCAGAACAGCCGGGGACAGGGTAAAAAGCAGCCTTAGAAACCCACAAAGATGGGGGTCGTGGTGACGGGAGAGCCAGTTGTCCATTGAATACTTCCACGCTACTCAAGTTGCGTTTTCAACAGCGGATCCTGTCTCCAGCTGTGTAAAGTAATGCTGCCCTTCCAAATGACAACAGGTATTTCGTTGAAAAGAGGAGCTCCTGTGTTTGACCCAGAAACCGGAAAGGATGCATGCAGGGGAAGCGTCTGCCTGCGCCGGAGCGCCTCTGCCACACCGACCGGGCGAGCACCTGGTGCCTCGCTAGAGGAAGCGGGCGACGCGCCTCCCGTGGCTTCATGGGGCACCGGGGTTTCCAGCCGGCTCCGCCAGCAGCAAACCCACTTCTCCATCAACGGCCAAGCGGTGCGAGAAGCCCTGTGCCAGGTCAGTGGGGCGCTTCTGGAAACGGCAGAGGGGTTGGTGGAGCAACGTGGGGCGAGCAGGGCGATGGCAGCCCTGCAGGGACGCAACCGTCCAGAAGGGAAGGCAGCTGCACCGCTGCAGGTAAGAGGCCCGCGCAGAAGCGCAGGGGGCTGCCACACGGCCCCCCCCCCAAGCTGGTACCAGCAGCACTGACCGGCAGCTCCAGCTCCCCGGAGCTGTTCCTTCAGCCCCGCCTAGGGAGGCTGGGGACTCGGCCTGGGGCCTTCTGCATGCCAAGTGGGAGCCCCACACTGACCCACAGCTCACTCGCCGGGTGGAACGTGTGTGAAGGGGGCCAGTGGGCTTTTCTGGGGCCAAGGGCCCCGACGAAAGACGGACCTCAGTGGAGGCTCCACGGTGACACAGCCTCTTCCAGCCTGAGCGGTCCCTGTGAGGCAACTCTTCCTGAGGAGGGGGAATCGGAACCATGAGCCACGACAGGACGGAGGGGTGCCACCAGTGACCTGCCACCAGCAAAGCCCATGCTCCACCTCTGGCTGCTGCCGCTCACCACCCACGTACCTGCTCCATCCCCAGAGCAGACGCTCCCGCACTGGAGGACCCACCGTGGCCCGCCGGAGACCTCTCAGGCGGGCGGCTTTCCCATCGCCTGCCACCTGACCCTTCGAAAAGCAGCCCAGCGAAGCCAGGGACCCAACGTGCCAAAGCCCGACTCTTCCAGGAGGCCCACAGCCCTGGACAGAACAGGGCGGAACGAGGGCCCTCTCCCCAGCCAGCCGACCGAACACGCAAGGTGCCTGGCTCTTTCGACGAGGACGGCCACTCCGACCGCGGAGGCTGGGACAGACGCTTGCAAGAGCAGGCAGGGAGTGCCTCCCCCCGGCTTCCCCTCCCCCCCGAAGCCCCCACGATGCCGAGACCCTCCAACCCGATCCCCCACGAATGGCCCACCGGGGTATTCTGACAGCTCAGTGGAAACTTTTAGCAGCATTTCTGGCCTGTCATCATTAATTGACGAGATGAGAAATCTATGAAAAAGATTTCTTTTTACATCAGCCACAGGAAGCTGCACCTGGGCCTGCCAGAAAACACCCTACTTTTAAAACCACAGTTTAGCTGAAGAAGTCAACCAATGTGCCGCTTCGAAGACCTTGAGAGCGCAGAGCGCTTTGCCGTCCATTAGTCCATGGCAGCTGACAGGGGGAAAGACACGGGTCGATTGCTACCTCTGCAAAAAATCACCCCGCGGCTTCGAAAGGCCAAGGTTCAGGTGAGCCGCTGTGCTGAGAAGCAAGCTGGCCACCTGTCAGCCGGCGGCCGGGGAGAAGGAAAGCTTTCTGAGGCAGAGAGATGCTCAGCAAGGCTGCAGGGGCTCCGCAACTGCCCAGGCCCAGCCGGCCGTCTCCAGCCTGCATCCTGGCTGGAGGAGCAGAGCCGGCCCGACGCAGAGCACGAGGCACTTTCGGCCGAAATCAAAGCGAGGTATTGCAGCTTTAG